TACCCTCCCCATTCCCATCCGAGGGCTCCTCATTCCTGTGGCAAGCACTGGCATCTGGAATTCTGGTAACTGGCGACACAGGGAACTCTGATTATGAGAGTACACCACACAATAAGAATCCTGTGTCTTTCTCCATCCCTTCTCTAGCAGGTTCCATCCTGAGCTCTGACATGGGGGGCAGGGAGGGCAGGCAGCAGAGAAGGCAGAAAAGAGAAGCGGTGGCCACAATCTCCACACTGGTTGCTTCCAGGTGGGATGCTGAGCCCTTCACGCTTTGGGACATATAGTTCCTTATTTAACCGATGACATTCCCTAGGATCCTGTACTTGAAGCTAATTGTCATTCGTATAACAATTGTGGAACAACCCTTCCCATAGCCCCTGAGCTTCTAGAGGATGGGAACCCATTCTGCTTGCAGGCTCCCGGATCCTCTGTGCCAGCCTGTGCCTAGCATGCATTAGAATGAAGGTTTGCCTTTGCCCTGACCTCACTATAGCAGCTGAGGTATTGACTATTGACTGTTACCCCTCAGAGATACTGAGGTTTGCCTGAAATTAAACAACTGACGACAGAGGATGCCATCCTAAACCAAACCCGTCCTTCTCATTGCACCACAGGGTCTTCCATTCATGCAGTGCAGCAGGGAGAGAAACTGCGCTCCAAAGGGAGCATGGGACCCCACCAGAGGCCCAACACCGGCTGAGAGGCTGGGGAGCCAGAAGCTTGAGCCTTGGAGCAGCGCCCACCTTGTGAAATATTAACCCAAGTGCGGGGGGGAAAATTCAAACAAATGCCCTATTTACAGAAGCTGGAAGCTTTCCAGGAGGGAGCAGATCCCAGGCCAGATATTGGGGGTTGGGAAGCTGCCATGAGGGGAGTCAGGGCAAGTGCCAGCATCTCCCAGGGGCCAGGGTGCAGGCCAGGGTTGGAAAGCATCCCAAGGGGTTGCTGGCCTCCTGAGCCTAATCTGCAAAGCAGGTGACATTAAGAAGATGCAGAAATGGAATGAAGGGATGCACCTCACTGCTCACTGGTGCCACCTGGAGGCAGAGGGGCCTCGGGGATACCTGGGTTCCAAGCTTGCACTCAAACTTCATGATCACACCACACCCAGGCTGAGTACAATACTCCAAGAATTCTAAATACTCGATATCCTTTAGGTCATTTAATTCCCTGAGCAACCACATGAAGCAGGAGTTATTAAAGCCTACAACTAACAAAAATAATAATAAAGCCTACAACTTACAAATAGGCAGCTGAGGCTCTGAGTGGCCAAGTATCTGCCACGGACTATGTATAGGTACAAGGGTCTATCTGTACTTAGCAACAGACAGACATGTATACGTTAGATGAGACTCCAGAGTGTTAAGCTTTCCAAGCATGTTCTCACTAAAGGCACAAATAACTTATGAGGGACATGTTATTTTGTTTTCCAGATGAACAAACCATGGTTCAAAGATGTGTGATGACCTGCCCAAGGTCCCCCAGCAGGTGCCTGGCTCTCTCTCTCATGACGCTATGGGCAGAACTATTTCTCCCCGCCTCAGGGCTTGTTTCTGCTGCTGAGGCTTCACTGACTCCTTACAGCTCTGAGTGTCCTTAGGCACTGAGCACAGATGATCTGTTATTGCTGATAACTGTCCTGTGAGCATATATCATGTTGACCCACAACTAGAAGCTTCTTAGTGGGGACGCTGGTGACCCAGGGCATCTCCATGACACAGTGGGTGTGTGGCTGGTTGGGTGAAGATGAAGGAGCTTCAGCTGTTATGATGAGATCCCCAAGCAATATTTACCAGCCTCAATATTCATCAGGGTCCTTTATCAGTCAATGTGTTGTGAACACCACCTACCTTGTAGGGTTTGCTGAGGAGATGCCATGAAATAATGTCCAGAAGGTGGTGACCAATCATTATGGAGTGCTCTCCTAGGAATAATGCTTGAGGAGAGCCTTGTTTGTTTTGGAAGGTGGAAAATCAGTTTTAGTGACTGAGCCAGATAAAGAATGTTGGTCCCAAAATAGATGACCCAACAGGGGTCCGTGAAGTGGCATTTCAGGAGTCAAGAACAGCTGAGGTACCGACAGCATTAATAATAATAACAAGAACTGGGCAGCCTTGGTGGCGCAGCAGTTTAGCGCCGCCTGCAGCCCAGGGCGTGATCCTGGAGACCCGGGATCGAGTCCCATGTCAGGCTCTCTGCATGGAGCCTGCTTCTCCCTCTGCCTGTGTCTCTGCCTCTCTCTCTCTCTGCATCTCTATGAATAAATAAATAAAAAAATCTTTAAAAAATAGTAATAACAAGAACTGTTCTCTACCTTTGTAGAGTGCTTTAGAGTGCTCCAAATTCTTTCACCACTTATGTCTCATTTCATCCTTCCAACAGCCTTCAGAGTTAATATACAGATGGGAAAACTGAAGCCCAGATGGGATGGAACTTGCCCAAGTTCACACAGTGAGCTAGCAGCAGAGCTGGAGCTTGAACCCAGGGTCCCAGGTGGCTAGTCCTAGGTTCTAGCCACAACAGCCGCTCAGATATGCTGGCTCTCAGCATCCAAGAGCTTTGACTTTTCATTTTTAAATCATCTGGCCCAGTCACCCTATTCAGTTTATGACCCAGGCCTGATGATAAAGTCCAAGCTTAAGGGGTGAGGAGGGAGATCAGCCATTATTCCACTCCCTATAAGGCAGGCTGCAAAATCTTAGCCTCTGCTGGGTACTTCTTCGATTAACACTCGCCATCAGCAGATCAGCCACACATACCCCAACCACGTCTGGAACCAACATAGACCACCCTTCCCAACTTATCCTCATGTCACATTTCTGTCGGCAGTATCATTTTGTCCATTTTACATGGCAGAATGGGGATTTGCTGTGCTCTTTTTAAAAAGACACTCAGAGCTGTAAGGTGTCAGTGAACCCCCACCACCTTCTACTGGCATCAAGAAATCCAAGACCAAGCTACCATCCTCCCTGTAGGATACGCAAGCATTGTTCCCACTGAGGGGTGACAGGAATCCACTGTGTCCCTCCCACCCACCCTGTTCTGCAAAATTCTACTAGCTCAGGGAGGCAGCCAGAGCTGGTGGCACCACCAGCTGGTGCTAAAAAGAAAGGATTTGAGATAGACACATGCAAACAGTTCCTCATCACAGCTACTGCCATCATCACAACGGTTAGATACCAAGTACTTAAACCATGCTAAACAGTGTGCTAAGCACTTCAGTGCTTGATGTCTCATTAAGCCCACAACCCTATTTTACAGATGAGGACAATGAGATGGTCCCTTGCCCAAGTTCTCACAACCAGGAAGCAGCCGCATGACCTAACTACAGTGCTCTATGGCCGTCCTTTTGGTATTAATTCCATCAATGGTCACTACAAAGATAGAAAAAGAGTACTTATAATGCCAGGCCATGGCAGCCCGGGGGGCTCAGCGGTTTAGCGCCGCCTTCAACCAAGGGCCTGATCCTGGAGACCTGGGATTGAGTCCCACGTCAGGCTCCCTGCATGGAGCCTGCTTCTCCCTCTGCCTGTCTCTCTCTCTCTCTCATGAATAAAAATAAAAATAAAAAATGCCGGGCCAGAGCATAATGGCTATTTGTCATCTAAGACAAATCTGTTTTCTCTGACCACCATGTTTGTATGGTTCTGACAGGGTGTTCCTTTAGATACTCAGGGACCCTGACAGCCCCTGACATTCTCCCCACCGTTATCTGGCTCCCACTCTTCCCATCCTTCACTTTGCTCCAGCTCTATTGTCCTCTTGTTGTTTCTTAAAATCATCAGATATATAACCTCAGGACCTTTGCACTTGCTGTTGAATGCTCTGTCTGTAGACAGATGCGTGGCTTGCTCCCTCCCTCCCTTCAGATGTCACCTTATTAGAGACTTTGCTCAGATATCACCTTATTAGCAACCTTTTCTGATCAACGTCTCCAAAAAGGTGACCCCACTCTCTGGCCCTTGTCATGGCCCTTCCTGCTTTATTCTTCTCCATGGACACTCTACATATTACAGGTTTCTTATTTTCTGAATGAAGCAATAAACTGAAACAGAGACCCCTCACCACTGGCAACCACCTCCTGCTCTAAGCATAGCCTCCTGTAACTCTTTTCAAAGCTGTCTTCCAGTACTCATTCTAACCATTTTGAACCCTGAAAAGAAACATTCTGTAGGAAAGATTATAGGGGGTGTTTTTCCCCCGTGGAGGCATGAGGCTTCCCCCTTCCCTAATGAGCCAAGCCCAATGACAGGCACAGGCAAAGACTGGAAATCTTGGATTCCTTGGGCCAAAGAGCAGCCAAGTCAATTTCCACCCACAAAACTATAATGACCAGCAGTCAGTTTCACTTTCAACTCACCTATCAGGCTCCCTTGCCCCTCAGGTTTGCAACCCCAGCCCATCCCTTTCTCATCCTGCTGGATTCCCTGCACCTTGTCATCCCTTTTGGGAGCCGTTCCAGAACCCAAGCCGTCCCTGAGCTTTTAAGCATGGCTTTGGTGGAACTTAAGCTCGTCCAACAGGTAGGAGGGGCAGAGGCTGGTTCTTTAGCCCTATATCGATCCCCCATTTTGTAGGGGCATCCGACAGGGCGTCATTTTCTTTCGGGAGGAAGGGAGCTCAGTTTTAAAGGCACGTTTCTCAGACCTGGCAGCAGGGGCAGAGAAAGGAGCCCTCCCACCATTGGCCGCAATGGACCTGTGCAATAGGTTGCAGCAGCGATGCCGAGGCGCCTGAGGCAGCAGGGAAAGGGGCCGGACGCAGATAAATCCCTCCGCCCCGGGAGCGGACGGGATGCTTACTCGCTTCCTCCGCGAGGAAAGCGAGCGATGGGCCCGGGGGAATCCGGGGCCACAGCGCCAGGGAGACAGGGCATCTCGTCAGGCTAGGGCCGGGGTCTGCGGGAGACGGGGGTCGGCGGGGCGGAGCTTGGGATCCCGGGGACTGGAGCCCCGCGTGGGAGGGGGTCGCGCCGGGGGGGACCCCGTGGCCGTTACCTTGCCCTTAGGGCTGCGGGCGGGGCTGAGGGCCGCCGGGTGCTGGCTCTGGGGCCCGGCCCCTCCCCCGATCCGGCTCCTGAGGCTCGGAGCCTGCAGCCGCCGCCGCCTCCGCTGTCAACAAACCCGGGGCGCGTCACTTCCGGGGCCGCCCCTTAGCAACAGCGAACGGGTTCCCCCGACAGGTCCCGCGGCGAACGCGGGCGGCGGCGGCCGAAGGTTCCGGGGCGCGCGCGGCGGCTCCTCTCCGGGCGGGGCCGGGGCTGCGGGCTGCGGAGTGTGGGTGGGCCCCGCTGGGTCCCGAGCACGCTGCTCCGGGGGCTCCCTTGCCTCGGAGTAGGGGGGGGCCCGCTGGGGCCGGCGGACCAGGGGAGCCCGGGCAGTGGTGACGGACTCCACCTCCCGCGTCAGCGCCGACGTCTCTCTGGGCGCCCCCTGTCGCCGCCCCCCCGCGCCCCAGTGAACGTCCCCCCGCCCCCCGCCCAGCTCCGCAGGTAGCGCTCCCACGCGGCCCCGCGCGCCCGCTTCGCCCGCTACTTAACGGGCCGCCACGTGGGGGCGTGGGAGTCGCTTGGCGCCTACGTTTCCCTGGGCCCCGGGTCCAGTCACCCAGTCCTGGGGGTCGCGCAGATCTCCCCGCTGCCATCCCCTGAGCGGGGTTTTCTCCCACTTAGAACTCCCCTGCTTACAACCCCTGACACGGGCCACTAGGATCACCTCTCCAGGCTCTTGTCCTCCTCCTCCGGCTCGCCCTCCCTCCCATTCTGCAATCCACACAGCTTTAAAGCGTCTTTGGGTCTTTTTTTTTTTTTTTTTAAGATTTTATGCATTTATTAATGAGAGACACACACAGAGAAGCAGGTTCCATGCAGGGAGCCCGACGAGGGACTCGATCCCAGGACCCCGGGATCACACCCTGGGCCGAAGGCAGGTGCCAAACCGCTGAGCCACACAGGGATCCCATCTTTGGGTCTTTGAATGATCTTCTTCTCTCCTATGGGCTCAAATAATCTTCCCAACTGAACGCTCTTGGTGTGTACATAGCCAACTTGCTCTTTCTTCCACCTTCTGGGCTCAGTTTAGAAGCTACTTTCTTGACATATCCCCCCCCCCCCCCGCCAATTCTCCTTCTCCTTCCTCCTTCCTCCTTCCTCCTCCCCCTTCCCCTCCCCCTCCCCTCCTCCTCCTCCTCCTCCTCCTCTTTTTCTCCTTCTCCTTCTTCTTCTTCTTCTTCTTCTTCTTCTTCTTCTTCTTCTTCTTCTTCTTCCTTCCTTCCTTCCTTCCTTCCTTCCTTCCTTCCTCTTCTTCCTCCTTCCTCTTCTTTCTTCTTCTCTATTTATTCATGAGAGACACAGAGGCAGAGACATAAGCGGAGGGAGAAGCAGGCTCCCTGCAGTGAACCTGATGGGGACTCCATCCCAGGATCCGGGGATCAGGACCTGAGCCAAAGGCAGACGCTCAACCACTGAGCCACCCAGGTGCCCCTGCCTCATCAATACTAATGCCTTGACTACTTTTGTGCATGTCTTTAAATTTTGCATATTATATTTTAGTCTTCAACCATATGCAGCTATGTTTGTACAATTTTGAATCCTTTGAAAAGTCTATTGATGGTTTCAAATTACTAAAAGACATGCTTGCAAAACAAACAAAAACACACCCAAGTACTTCAGAAATAAATATATGGTGGGGGGGGAAATGAAAATCCCCACTCAAACCCTAACCCAACCCCAATATCATCCCCTTCCCCAGAGATGACCATTCTTAGCAGTTTGGTGAGGATCCCTGTAGTTATATATATATATATATATATATATATATATATATATATATATATATATATATATAAACTTTTATATATATGCTTTTATATATACATATAAAATCACAATGAGATACAACTTCATATTCTTATAGTGGATCTGATCAAAGGAATAGACAATAACAGGTATTACTGAGGAGGTAGAGAGATGGGAACTCTAGTATATTGCTGGTGGGAATTTCGAAAGGAGCAGCTGCTTTGGAAAACAGTTTGGCAGTTCCTCTAAAAGTTACACGGAGTTATCATGTGACACAGCAATTCCATTCCTAGGTATATACCCCAAGGAAAATGTTCATAGCAGCATTATTCATAATAGTCAAGAAGTGGAAATAGCCCAAATGTCTATCAACTGGAACATGGGAATGATATGACATATGTTCATACAAATGGAATATTATTTGGCAATAAAAAGGAATGAAGTGCTGACATGTTACAACATAGATGGACCTTGAAAATGTGCCAAATGAAAGAAACCAGTCACAAAAGGCCATACTGTATGAGTCTATTCATATGTTCAGGATAGACAGATCTATAGAGACAAAGATTAGTGGTTGCCTAGGGCTAAGGAGGGGGGGAAAGTGGGAATGTCTGCCAGTGGGTACAGAGCTTCTTTTTGAGATGATGGAAATGGTCTAAAATTAGATAAGGATGCTGGTTGCATGGTTGATAGATAATAGTTCTATATGTATTACTCTGTGAATATTCTGAAAGTCACTTGTAGAGGCCAAGGGCAGGCAGCCCCAAGATGGTCCACGTTGGCATAAAGGTTATTTATGCAATCAAAACCCAGCAGATTCAGAAAAAGCTATTTACTCTGCCCCCCTTCAACAAGTGCCTAAAGAGAACTGATAGAGGACCTGCTCCAGGAAGAGAGCTATCACCAGAGACAACTACATTATACTATGAGCTAGGTATGATAGATGGGGAGGAACCTAGAAAGGCCTGTTTGATCCAAATCATCTATGTCCTATTGTTTCTAAGTGGCCCAGCGAACACTTGTTTACCAAACATTTATGCTTTTTCACTTTCCTATGAATTATATCTCTTCCTTTTAAAGTCTCAAACTTGGGACACCTGGGTGGCTCAGTTGGTTAAGCATCTGCCTTTGGCTCAGTCATGATTTCAGGGTTCTGGGAACCCTGCTTCTCCCTCTCCATCTGCCTGCCGCTCCCCCCGCTTGTGCTCTCTCTCTCTGTCAAATAAATAAATAAAATCTATAATAAATAAAGCCTCAGACTCCTATCCCCTTCTCCTTGGTTCAGAATGACAGGTCTATCTCACATTGCCTCACCAGTTTTTTGAATTTCCATGTCTGGGTGGATTCCTCATATATATGAAAATAAATCTGATTTTCTCCTGTTAATTTGTTTTATATCTATTTGATTCTTAGTCCAGCTAGAAAGACCTTGAAGGACAGAGAAAATTCTTCTTCCCAGTCACACTGAATGGTTCATTTTATTTATTTACTTTTTAAAGTAAACTCTACTCCCAACGTGGGACTCAAACGCACAACCCTGAGATCAAGAGTATCATCTCTACCAACTGATCCAGCCAGGTGCCCCTGAATTGTTCACTTTAAATATATGCTCTAAATGTGTAGAATAGGGGCAGCCTGGGTGGCTCAGCGGTTTAGCGCCGCCTTCAGCCCAGGGTGTGATGGAGACCAGGGATCGAGTCCCATGTCGGGCTCCCTGCATGGAGCCTCTCTCTCTCTCTCTCTCTCTCTCTCTCTCTCTCTCTCTGTCACACACACACACACACATAAATAAATAAAATCTTAAAAAATGTGTAGAATATGAGTTATATCCCAGTAAAGCGGTTAAAACGCACTTATAGGGATGGCTGGGTGGCTCTGTGGTTGAGCATCTGTCTTCGGCTCAGGGTGTGTTCCGGGGTTCTGGGATTGAGTCCTATATGGGTTCCCAAGTAGCCTGCTTCTCCCTCTGCTTATGACTCTGCCTCTGCCTCTCTCTGTGTGTCTCTCAGGAATAAATAAAATCTTTTTAAAAGTCTTAAAATGCACTTATATTTTTATTTTTAGAAAGAGAGAGTGCTTGAGTATGAGTGGCAGGGGGTGTTAGTAGTGGGTGGCAGAGGTAGAGAGAGAAACAGAATCTTAAGCAGTTTCTATGCCCATCATAGAGCCTGACTGTACACTCCTCTGGGGCTTGATTTTATGACCCTGAGATCTTGATCAGAGCCAAAATTAAGTGTCCCAGATGCTTAACCGAATGAACCACCCAGGCTCCCCTATCCCTTGTGGATAGAGATGCAAACATTCTGTTAGGAATTTTTAACAGAATAAAAACTTAACGGGACGCCTGGGTGGCTCAGCCGTTGAGCGTCTGCCTCTGGCTCAGGTTGTGATCCTCGAGTCCTGGGATCAAGTCTCACATCAGGCTCCCTGCATGGAGCCTGCTTCTCCCTCTGCCTGTGTCTCTGCCTCTCTCTCATGAATGAATGAATGAATAAATAAATAAATAAATAAAATCTTAAAAAAAAGAAGAAAAACTTAACAAAATACATTGAATTCTCAATAGAATAGACCACAGAGTCCATGGTAACTTGTTACAGAAGTCTGAGGAAATGAAAACAATAGTCTGTATAGAAAGTTCTAGGGAATCTACAAAAAAGCTTCTCAAACTAATGAGTGAGTTTAGCAAGATTTCAGGATACAAGTTAAATAAAAGCAATTAAAAGTAAAAAATAATAATTTGTTATAAATTAATTTTATTAGCGGTGCCTTCCTGGCTTAGTAGAGCATGTGACTCTAGATCTTGGGTTTGTGAACGGGAGGCCTACATTAGGTGTAGAGATTACTTAAATAAATAAAACCTAAAAAATTAATTTTGTTATTATAAATAATAATAAAATTTAAAAGAATGGTATCTCTGCACTGAGGAGGGCACTTGATTGAATGAGCACTGGGTGTTAGGCTATATGTTGGCAAATCGAAATTAAATAAAAACAAATGTAAAAAAATAAAACAAAACTGGTATCTCTGTATTCCAGTAAAAAATAGTTGGAAATGGAAATTTAAAAATACCGCTTATGATAGCAACAAAAGTATGAGATATTTGGGGATAAATCTGACTAATTATGCATAAGACTTCTACTTGGAAACTACAAAGCATTGCTGAGAGATATTAAAGATTTAAATAAATGGAGAAGAATTTTATGTTCATGGAACAGGTGATTCAGTAGTGTTAAGGTATCTATTATTTGCAAATTGATCTATAGATTCAGTGCAGTCCCAATAAAAATCCCAGGAAAAAGAAAAATTCCAGCAACTTTTTTTGCCCTAGAAAATCACAAGCTGATTCTGAGGTTCATATGAAATGCAAAGGACCAAATGCAAAAGCTGAAACAACTTTGAAAAA